ATGTATTTAGTTAGACTAGTAGAAGATTTCATTATTTTTTTCCTATAAAGTTAAATGTTCAATCTATGGATGTAATTTCATTAATCCTTTGAGGGAAATGTTGAAGTTTAGATATTTAGTGTAATATCTGGGAATATTTTAAATGGGTCTGTCCTACCCTTTCTGACACCACTCATTTCCTTTAATACTATATTTATAAGTATTTTTCCTATCATGATTGAAATTCCTGATATCTATTAACTTTTATTTATTAGACTCAAACTGCTCATTTTAATTTTCTTGAATTTCATTATAGTCCCAGACACTCAAAGACTGCAGTGTCATTTGGCTTATCTCTTGAGATATAAATATTGGGTTTAGTCAGTAAAGAGGAAAATGGTCTATAGTTACATGGGATGAGATAAACAGAAATTTGTTGAGTGATCTGAGACATGTCCTCTTTCTGGGAAAATAGAATAATCAGATTTTGAATCCTACAGTTACCATAATGAACCTAGCATGTGCTGACTTAATTCAATTTCAGTTCATTTACTCATTGATTCACCACCTGCATGATAATCCAGTCTCACGCTCACTCATAAATTACTTTAGCTATTTATAAAATAAACATTTAAGAAAATCTATTGGAAAACAAATCTCTATGATGTTAGAGGGATGTTGTGTAAGCTAATGCCTGAAATTGTCATAGGCTTGATATTTTTTGCTGTTATTGTTTTGAGGGTCACACCTGATAATAGTACTTAGGGACTCTTCCTGGATCTGTGCTCAGGGTGTGACCCCTGCCTACTGGAATTTGGAGGATCTGGGTGGAGGATGCTCAGCCCCGATCCGAGCAGGCTTGGCGATCTCAGCCCTGGGACGCACATGCCTTTGTTCCTCTGCTGGTACCTTGATGTGTGTGGAGAGTGGTCTCAGCATGGTGGTGGCTGGTTCTGGAGGTCTTCGGTGCAGAGTCTCCTGCCCCCGTGCCTGGCTGTCCTCGCCGGGGCCCCTTGGAGGGGAGCGGGTTGAGTTTCCCTCCCCGACCTGACCAGGACTCTGGCAGCCGAAGACCTTCAGAACCAGCCACCACCATGCTGAGCCCACTTGCCACATGCATGAAGGTACCGGCAGAGGAACAAAGGCATGCGGGTCCCAGGGCTGAGGTCTCCAAGCCTGCTCGAACCGGGGCTGAGCATCCTCCACCCAGATCCTCCAAATTCCAGTAGGCAGGGGTCACACCCACCAACTGGCCCCCTGGCACCGTGTAATCCCATCAATGGCCAAGACCCAGAGACTATAAAACCCAGCTCCTGGAAGACATCTTATTATCTCATTCTTACTTTGGACAAAATGGCAGGTTACCAAGTGTAACCTGCCCACACGGCAGAGTCTGGCAAACTCCCCGTGGTGTACCCAATATGCCAAATGCCAGTAACAATGATGGGTCTCATTCTCCTAACCCTGGAAGAGCTTTTAATATGTCACCTTTTAAAAAATCTCAGGGCTAGGATGAAGGAGACGTTACTGGGGCCTGCTCGAGGCAATCGATGAACAACAGGATGGTCGTGATTGTGATAGCGCTCAGGGTACCATTTGTAGTGCTAGGGATTGAACCAGGGTCAGTCTTACATAAGGAAAGCAATTTAACCCCTAAACTCTCTCTAAGGATTCCAGACATCACTTTTAATGAGTAGAAACTCTATCTTGTGTTGACAAAACCTGCCTTAGTAACCAAGGGTGTTATTTAATTCCTCTATATACAACTTGAAAGAATTTGCTCTCACTGTTGCCCTTTAATTTACTGTCTGGTTATACCAAAGTAACAGTAATTTGTGAAGACCTGAGTTCATTCTGCTGTTACTCGTGCTTCTTTCTTAGTCCATTTAGGTTTTTTTTTCCCTTCAGAACACCACAGTTTGAGTGGCTTTTAAAAACACAAATTAATTGCTTTTTCATAGTTTTGGATATTCGGTGTTAGCAGTTTCAGTTGAGAGTCTGCTTGTTGGATTGTAGATTGTTCCAATTTATTGAGTCCTCACATAGTGGGAAGGATAGGGAGCATTCTAGGTCAGTTTAACTAGGATACAAAATCCCTTTCATGAAGATCCCATCAGACATTAAATCTCTATCATATCATCCCCAAGTTATCATCCTCTTCTTTAATTCTATTGGATATTAGGAAGCAGACAACATTTAGTCTACATAAGAATCCTGTCCCTGAAATACTTCAAATAGGCATATATTTTAAATTGTACAAATGACTAATTTTTATTTAAAAAATTTGCAGAAGCATATTTGACATGATATGAATTATTACATTATTCCATTGCTGCTCTACACAGGATGTGTGACATGGTTAAATCACTTTTCACACGGCTAAATGTAACTAGTATTCCTCATCAAGCCACCAAGACTGAAAAGATTTGAGCATAGAGGCTTACAGGGTACACATTCACCATTTTCTGTTCTTTTCTTTCTTCCTCTCAAAGGGTAAAGGGGAAACTCAGTGTCTGTTGAAAGTAAGCATACAAAAATGTTAAGATTTGTGGTCTTTGATCTTCCCAAAAGTAGACTTTATAGGAACATGCACATTTTATGGTTAAACTTCCTCATCCAAGTGAACTATCTTTTTTTGTTTTGTTTAGTTCTGTTTTGTTTTGGGTCACACCTGACTGTGGTTAGGGCTTCCTCCTGGTTCTGCACTCAGGGATAACTCCTGGCAGGCCAAAGGGACTGTATGTGATGCCAGGAATCTGACCTGGGTTTGCTGTGTGTGCAAGGCAAATCTCTACCTACTGTACTATTGGTTGGGCCCCCAAATGAACAAAACTGACAAAAGGTATGACAATTTTCTGTGGTAATAAAGGCTTTCTTATAAAGTAGTGTAATAATTGGGTGAAACACAAGGGCACCATCTCAATAAAATAATTTTAATGTCCCCAAATGTCTTGTTTAATGTGCTCCATTTTATAAACTGTGATGAAACCAGAGGGATTTGGGGAAGTGTCCAGAATATAATCACCAAGGGTTGCAAACAGTTCTAGGAAAGATACTAGATCAATATTGTTCTGACAGTTGCATGCTTCTTCGAATCTTTTAATGCTTTGGTTGCAAAAATAATTGTGTTATACAGAGAAGACTAGTGGTTATTCATATAAGGAGAATTTCTTTCAGTTTAATATCCTTTTCCCCCCTATAGTATTAAACAATTGTTAGTTTAACATAACTGGAAAGATGTGCTCTGGATCCCCAAAACTTAGGTTCAAAATTCTCAGTTTTCCACCATCTGCTTCCAAAGAGAATATCTTTTTCGCTCCCACTAAGGTTGGTTTTTATTGCTACTACAGTTCCTGAAGGAGATAGTATAGGCAAACAATTGGGTGAGCAACAGATGCCAAATGAATATTATTATGTCCCCCAATCTCTACTATCTGCCAGACTCTGGGGAAGTGATTGCATTTCTGAGTTCCCGGGTTCTATTCCAGATCTATTAAACTGTACTCTCTTGAGATGGATTTCAAGAATAATATTTTAAAATTACTTTTTAGAGTATTATAAATTATAATCAGAACCAAGTCTAGAACACCTTCTCTAGTCAAGTATTTATTAGGCAATTTTTAAGCTCAGCAATTTTCAGAATCTTATAAAACAGATTGTGTTTCTGTACTCCTAGTTTCTGTTCCCTAATCTGGGATGGATTGTTTGATAATTAGAATGTCAAAAAAGTCACAGAGGATATGGTTTGTGCTAAGTATTTATCAAATACATAAATAATGCATTTGATCCACGGTTAAAGGGACATGGTGTTCAAAATCTGCACACTAGTTGTTGTAAAATAGGGGAATACTTGCTAAGAACGTAGGTAGTTCTGATATCAGGAATTTTACATGAACTTTGTCTATTAGAACTTGGAACAAAGAGAAAAAGTGAATATACTCTTTCCCCTGATTTAGGTTTTCTAAAATTCAGAAGCGAAATATGTAGAGTAACCTTCATTATTCAAACCACTGGTGACATCCTTGTCAAGTTTATGGACTAGGTACATGAAGATAGGAAAGGATAATTTTAAATATTTCTTTCAGTGAATATTAATTTTTTTAAATAACCTGAAATTAGATACTCAGATTATACATTTTTGAGCAATCTTCAAAGGTCATTCTTAGCAGCATCAACATGAGATATCATTCTTCATACTATCTAGACAAATCATGGAATTCTTCTCAACTCTAGTAGTTTAAAATGTAGTTTTGGTGTCAACACTGATTGGTTTCCTAAAAAACAATTTAGAATGATTGAATGAAGTTGTGTAGAATTCCTTCATAATTAAGATTGTAATTATTCTCTTACTACATAAATTAATCCTGGGTCTGGAGAGAGAGTACAGGGGTTAGAGTAGTGGCCTTACATACAGTTATTCCTAATTTGATCCCTGGCACCACATTGTTCCTGTGCATCATCAGGTACAGTCCTGGAGGGTCCTGAGTAACCACAGGTTCTGGCCCTTGAACACAACCAGAATGGTCTAGTAATCCTTAGCTCTCTGGGGTCTTAGCACACTGCATCTTTTTTTTTTTTCGTTTTGGGTCACACCCGGCATTGTGCAGGGGTTTAATTCTGGCTCATGCACTCAGGAATTACTCCTGACGGTGCTCAGGGTACCATATGGGATGCTGGGAATCAAACCCGGGTCAGCTGTGCACAAGGCAAATGCCTTATCCACTGTGTTATCGCTCCAGCCCCACACAGTGCATCTTTAATCTTTCCATTGGTTACCAGTTCAATTGTCTGAAATTGTTCAATTGTCTGAAATTGTCTGAAATTGTTCAAAAGTTGGGCCCTTGACCTCCTGACCATGACTTCGGAACTCTATCCTCTCCAAATACATTAATATCATCTGTGTTAAAAGACATCAACATTTTTTTCAGTCATTATCCACATACAAAAAAAAAGAATTAAATTCAAACAATTTATAGACATAAGCCCTAGGAGCCTATAGTATATATGCTTGCAATTGCTACTTAAAAGGCTGAGCCCAGTGAAGACACTGCTTTTCCATATACTTTCTTGAAAGCATTCTTGACCTCTTTGTTCCTCAGGCTGTAGACCACAGGGTTCAGCATGGGGATGATCATGGTGTAGAACACAGATGCCATTTTGTCTGTGTCCATGGAATGGCTGGAGTTGGGCTGTAAGTACATGAAGATGATGGTCCCGTAGAAGATGGAAACAGTGGCTAGGTGGGATGCACATGTGGAGAAGGCCTTCTTTCTTCCTTCAGCTGAGTTCATTCTCAGGATAGCAATAAAAATGAACAGGTAAGAGTTCAGGATAACCAAGAGTGTGAAAAAGACATTGAACGACGCCAGTGTGAAAAGTACAATCTCATTTGTGGAGATGTCAGAACAAGAGAGTGATAACAGTGCAGGGATGTCACAGAAGAAGTGATTGACCACATTGGAATGACAGAAGGAGAGGTGGAAAGTGAAGGCAACGTGGATGGAAGATTGCAAAAGGCCACAGATGTAGCATCCAGTGACCAATAATGCACACACAGTACTTGTCATGGTGGTGGTATAATGCAGTGGGTTGCACACTGCTGCATGGCGATCAAAAGCCATAGAAGCCAGGAGAAAACTCTCAATAGTGGCAAAGGCCGCAAAGAAGAACATTTGTGCTGCACATGCATTGTAGGATATGATTTTATCTCCCGTGAGAAACCCCACCATTACCTTGGGAGTGATAGCTGAAGAATAAACACAGTCCACCAGGGAGAGGTTACTGAGGAAGAAATACATGGGGGTGTGGAGGCGGGAGTCCAACAGGATCAACAGGATCATCCCTAGGTTCCCAACCAGAGTGATGAAGTAAATGAAAGTAAAAATTATGAACAAAGGGATCTGCATCCCTATGGCCTCTGTTAACCCCACAAGAATGAATTCAGTCACTTCGGAAATGTTCTCCATCCAGGTCTTTTGAGAGTCAACACAAGAGGTTCCTGTGACAAGATGAGCAAAGAAGATAATGCTCTGTGATAACTGTGGTGGAAACTGAAGTGTGAATGGGGTCTTTAGCTGACATGTATCAAATCCTGTTCATGGCAGGAAGTCTGGGCATGAAAATAAACCAAATGTTGGGTGGAATGGGTTGAGTGAGGTTCTTAACTAAATGGAAGGACACTGCATTGTCCCTAACTGGGACTGTCTCCTGGAGGCAACTATGACTTTATGGCCTGTTTCAGTTTGCTTTCTATGTGGTATTGTCTATCATGTTAAAACACAGAAAAAATATTTTCTTACAGTCTTACAGAACAACACTGTTAAAACACAGAATGTTTATCATGTTAAAACACAGAATGTTTATCATGTTAAAACACAGAAATATTTTTTATGTTAAAACACAGAAATATTTTTTCTGTGTTTTAACACAGAAAATAAGACTCCTTGTCTTATCTTGCAAGTCCTCCAGGTGTCAAAGAGTGACATAGAACAAGTGGTGGAGGGGCTAGAGAGAGAACAATCAGAAGAGGAGTTGTAGAGATAGTGCAGTAGGTAGGGCCTTTGACCTGCACACTGTCAACCTGGGTTTGAACCCCGGCATCCCGAACATATGGTCTCCTGAACATCACCAGAAGTAATTTCTGAGTGCAAATGGTATGGCCCCCACAAACAAAAGCACATCAGTAGAAAGTAAATCATGGGGGAAACGTTTGTTACTTGATTTCATTTGTTACGGACAAAATTTTTCAAATAAAAATCTAATCTCTGAGGACCCCGAAAAATCTAATCTCTGAGGATTCCTAACACGTTCATATTAGCAGAAGATATATAGTGGTTTCTTGCCTTAAAAAGATGACTCACACATTTCTTCCCATTCACAAAGACTTCATTGCTCCCCAAGCTAAAACTATCGGCCCTCAGAAGAAACTGATGGGATTCAAATAGTAGGCAACCAAATCATAGAGGGAAATATAATATGCATATATTCATATTTTCAGATATATACACAAAACCTCACATCACTCAACCTTTAACAACATGTTAGTGATATCCTAAAGAATGTCTTAATGGTCCCTGCCAAATTATAACAATCTCCACACTGTTTCCTCTATAGATACTTTTTTGTAGCATTTTAAGCAGTTTTTCATAACAGACAATACAAAAATATATCATTTTGGTTGTGCTTTGGGACAGGGACTGGGGATTGGGATGGAAACATCCCAAATTTGATGATGTAATGGTAGTGGGATTTGATAGTGTAATGGTAGTGGGATTGGTGTTTGAATATTAAATGTAATCAAATATTGTGAACTACCTTGTAAAATAAAAAAATTAAAAAAAAGAAACTGATGTCTAATGTCTAATCTACTCAGTGCTGTTTTTTGTTTCTTTCAGGAATTCTAAAACCGAAGGAAGTTTTATAAAATGTTGATACAATGCTTTAGTTATTTCTATGTAAATCTATTTTTTCTAGTAGATTCATAGCCTTTTTTATGTAACATGGTTCTCAATAGTATTAATATTTATACTTTAGTCATACAGTCTTACAGAACAACACTGTCACCAAATAGCAATATTCTTTTACTGCTCACTGGCTCTGATACTTTCCATCTCTCATTATCTATAATTTTTGTTTTATTTCTGCAGAGATAAATTAAAAGGCCATTAAGAGTTGCTTTTGTTCTTAATATAGAGGCTGAATCTCTAACAAGTCATTGATCTCTAGACATATTATTTTGCTAATGTTCCTGATTGTCCTCATCTCTTGGAGGAGCTGAAAGAATGACTGATGGGAGATGTCGTGAGAATCAAATGAGAGCTGCACTGCATAGTACAGAGGTCCCTCAACCCAACACACACTTTAGACTTTGAACTTCAATTAGAATCGATTTCTCCTGCATTAACAATTATTTGTATCCAGGAAAAATATGCCCTCATCTTTCACAATTGCATAACTGGAAAACATATCAAGAAGAATTGAGAATATTATGTTTTACTCAAGTAAAAGTCTGACCAGGGCACTTTGTAAGTATAAAGGATGCATGATTAAGCTGATCCAGGTTACTCAGAATACTTTCTGGAATTGACAACTTTCAGTGTGGGACTTGAAGATTGAAGAGATAATTATTTTTAGTTAATAAAATAGCAAACACTTATATTGCATTTAATTTCTGATAAGAAATTGTTCTCAGTTTCTCACATATTTAAATTGTTTAATACAGTTAGCAATTTTGTGTGCTAAAAATAGTATTACCTACATTTTACTAAGAATATAACTGATTGAAGGAGATAATTATTCACCTAATTCATAAAAGTAATGGCAAGATAGGATTTGAATCCAGACAATTGGGTTAAAAATCCATAATATTAATCATCCTCCTAAAAATACTGTGTTAAGTTTATTATCTTTCCCATGTTTAAGCTTGTCTTTCAAGGGGTAATGGAAACAATTTTTAACTTTTAAGATAGATGAGTAAAACAACAAATTATACAAAATGATATTTAATTGATAGTAAATTTTCTAAATAAGTAATTAGTTATTATTCTGATTGTTATTTTATGGCTATTACTCTACTACTAAGCTCCTTACTGCTCCTTCTGTTCTCCTTCCTACTCAATTTGTTATTTGACCAGAAAGAGGATTTTTATGGGTAAAGCATGAAAATGAAAATGTAATTATATGAATAAGCAATATTATCAGATAGGAGTGGGTAATCAAAAATGATTAAATCCTGCAGTAAAATAATCTCAGTTATGTAATAATATAAAAATTATCAATTATAAAGTATTTTTAAAAAATTTGCACAAATTGAGGTAGATTAAACTGTAAAAGATGGAAAAATCGTGGCAGATTATAAATATAATATGAATATTTTCTAGAAAAGAGATTCAAGGTGAACGTTATTACTAGGTATAAGAATATATACATTTTCCAATTGTACAGAAAAGTCCCATTAAACAGTTAGCACTTAGCATATAGCCTGGAGGCAATTGTTTATACTTTAAGCATCAGTTTCATTATCTGTGAAGTATCCCATTCCTGTGATACCCAGAATATCTATTTTTCAGAACTGACATAATGAAATTAAATGACATATGATGGCTTTTTTACCACATGGCTTAACACATTAAAGTATTTGGAATTAGTTCCCTTTTTGTCTTGTTTTCTTTACACAAGTCATCTCTGTACCAGGAATTGGCATTACAAAATGAATAATGTTTCTGGTATTTTTTCCTAGTGGGCAAAGACAGACAGATGTACAAATTACACCCCCAACATGCTTAGTGCTATAATAGAAATGACTGACTATCAAGTATTCTGAAGCACTTACACAAACCCAGAATGCCACAGTCCTCCACAAACCATAAAAATATAAGACCAAGAATAATCCTAATTTTACTGATAATCAGTTGGGGTAGCCTTGTACTGGACCAATCTTCATTCACATGATCAAAAACATTTCCTCTCTCCCCTCTAGGCTGTTTTTCTTTCCTCATGTAGCAATAAATATGACAATTCTTTGGAAAAGCCTAAGAGATGCTAAAATTTTAAAGTCAGACAATTTAGCCATGCTTTTCATTGACTAGCTGGTTTCTTCTTGGATATTGCAGGACATTTAGCCAATAACACTGGTGGCTCAAACTCTGATTTTCCTAAAGACCATGGTTTACCATTGAAGATCCTCAGACACTGAAATTTCTACATTGCCAAATTCAAAAAGGGAACTCTATTTGACTGTTACAAGAATAGGGGGTAGTTTCCTTTTGAACTCTAAACATTGAGGCTGGAAATCTGAATGGGACCTTGGAGATGGCAGAGCAGGCTAGCAGGCTGACATAGTGGCAGACAGGAGCCAGATGAAGACTAACAATCAGGATTTCTGCGTTCTATCTGTTTAATCTCTTTGGGTTTTATTTTCTTCACTTGCAACCAAAAACAAAACAAAACAAAACAAAACAAAACAAAAAAACTAAACCACCGGGAACTTCTAGAGACCCATCCTATTCTAGTTGACTCTGATTATGTTTTTGTGCTACTCACATTCATCCTAAGAACAGACAAATGAGGCTACAAGAGAGAGTGTGCGTAAAATTTTCATGTTGTTGATGGTGAGTCCACAGACAGAAAAGCATCTTGCTAGAGAATCTCCTTCCCCTCTTGTGAAGCTGTCGTTTGTGCAACTGAATCTGGTTTGGGTTCTTGCGAATATCAAAGCAGAGACAATGACGTTCTCCACAAGTCCCTGGGGGTTTGGAGAGATGCTTTCAGGTTTCAGGGTGGTGTGGATGGGTCTCTCAAGAGAATCTTAATGTCAGATAGGCACTCCTAACCTGAAGCTGACTTGAAAAATCTATTGTATGTATTTTGGCAGACAATGTGTAGAAAACATGGGGAAATGAAATCTTAGAACAAGAGCCTTTGATCATCTGATCAGCATTGCCACACACAGGTTAGGTTAAAACAACAATAACAACAACAACAACAAAACAATAGAACCCACTCATACCTTTTATTTTTTAGTTTTGGACAACACCTGTCTGTGCTCAGGGCTTACTCCTGGCCCTGCACTTGGAGATCACTTCGCATGGCCGTGGGGTACGATATGAGTTGCTGGGCATCCCTGGGTCAGCTTTGTGTAAGGCAAGTGCCCTACCCACTGTACTGTCACTCTGGTCCCCATTTCTGTCATCTCTGAAAAAGTAACTGGCCAAATTGTTTAATCTTACAAAATTTCCTTCTATCATCTCTAAAGAGCATAATAATAAAACTGCATATCCCCCATAGGAGAGTCTGAAAGATTAAATGCACAATTTGCATTATATTTAGCATATGTTAAGAGGTCAACAAATGTAAGCATTTTATTTCTATCAGAGAAAATTTTTAAAAATTTATTTTAAAAAAGAGTCAAAATTAGATACATGCTACAAAGTTGTTCATGATTGGGCTTTTGTCATATAATGTGGCA